TAAAAACTAGGTATAGTCCAACCATTATAGGCACATGTGCAAATTATGTATTATACCTATGCATGATACAATTTTATTATGAAATATATTTACGATAATAATGCACCGCTTTCAGTGCGGCGAGATCAAAAACCAAAATATTGGGGTTAAGACTATGGGAATAATCTAGTAAACAAGTGCAATGCATTTTGAAGCTGTGTTTAACAAAATTATACAAAAACATTTGTGTATACCTAATATATTTTAAAATGTCGTAATTAAACACAACGTAAGGTCTTTGAATTTTGGGCGTAGAAACAAAAACGTTATCTGTAGTCCTGGTACTGGACTATTTTAAAAACTACTCACTTATAATATGTTAAAATAAATATACGAGTTAAATATTATAAAAGTCTCAAAAATACGATAGCGCGTGTGTAACAGTCATTAGCAATAATAATAGGTAATCTATTATATATTATAAAAATAAAAAATAATTTTCAAACTCATACAGTCATACAGCATACTTATAATAAATTGTCTTAATTACTATAGTAAATAATATTAAATAATGGAAGCCTAAAGGTAAATTAAAAGTTTATTTCAAAATATTTTACAATAATAATACTAATAAAATGTTAGTTCACGGAGATAGTGCCTAGCCAATACCTATAAGATAATAACCACACCAATTTGTTTGAATCTAAAGATAAATTAACTAAATAAAAATTAATTAAAGTATTGGAAATAATAAATAGTACAGCATTTTGATCAGAAATTATCCATCCTCTCCTCTAATGGATACACATTGACCATAATAAGAGTAGATGGTAAATAGGAGAATAATATAATATTACGTAATTAATTAATTTTTTTAAATGTCGGTATCTAAGTATAATCAAACATTTTTTCAAATACCTATAGATTAATATATTACAATACATAGGTACAGATTGTATTGGTGACCGTGACAGTTTTTTTTAAATGAAACAATAAAGTTATATGTACTCCTGGAATAATATATAAGCTAATTTATACCCACGTACATAATGTTCAAATAAATCCACTTTTGAAATTACAAATGTCTCAAAAATACGTTTTGTATGTTCAAACAATTTTAATTTTAGAGCTTTTATTGCATGCATTTGAAATTTCAAATAACCCATGTCGGGGGCTGGCGTGACGTCTCGCCACCCCCCCGACGGGTTTTTCGATATCCCCCCTGAACGAAGAACGTACGAATGTTTATTTTGCGCGTACAAATACGTACAAATAGAGGCCAATGTATTGGTACAAAAAAAATTTCAAATAACCCATGTCGGGGGCTGGCGTGACGTCTCGCCACCCCCCCGACGGGTTTTTCGATATCCCCCCTGAACGAAGAACGTACGAATGTTTTTTTTGCGCGTACAAATACGTACAAATAGAGGCCAATGTATTGGTACAAAAAAAAATTCAAATAACCCATGTCGGGGGCTGGCGTGACGTCTCGCCACCCCCCCCGACGGGTTTTTCGATATCCCCCCTGAACGAAGAACGTACGAATGTTTATTTTGCGCGTACAAATACGTACAAATAAAGGCCAATGTATTGGTACAAAAAAAATTTCAAATAACCCATGTCGGGGGCTGGCGTGACGTCTCGCCACCCCCCCGACGGGTTTTTGATATATCTGAGCCATTTTGTTCATACAAATTCTGTAACAATGCTTACAAATTCGTACAAAAAGCATACTAAAAGATAGAAAAATAAAATTTCAATATTTTGAAAATGGGGGGGCTGGTGTGACGTACGTACTATGATGCTAATGCAGACCTTTGGTCTATGCGGTGACCGTAGTGAACTATTAGCGCTAGTAGTCAGTGGGCCTACGTTTACATTTGAGGCGTTACGTGGCAAAGTCAGCAATCTCCACTTTTTTTTGAATAAATGTTTTGAATTTTGATCATATTCATATAATACGTTTTACTCTGCGTCGATTGGTGAAGCTGATTTTTATCACATATAATCGCCCATCGAGATAAAACGTTTTAATACTAGCTGATCGCAGCAAAGAGAGCAATCTCCAATCATAATACCATATAATACATGTTCTACGTTTCTGTGGCAAATGAGGCAATCTCCATGCGTTTCTGTGACAAAAGCGGCAATCTCCGTGGGTTCTTCTTGGGTTCCGCGGCAAATTTGACAAAGTCCATTTTCCCTCCTTTATTATTTAATGTTATTGACATTTAACAAATTATATGAATACAGGGAATAACACCAAACTCCACTATCAACCAACGAAAATAAAATATCATGGAAAAATACAAGAAATAAAGGTAAAACAGTTTTTTGACATTTACCAAAAATCACTGCGTTTGGAGATTGCTGACTTTGCCACATGACGCCTCATTTGTATGTACTGGGAAATCGAAGATTTTTTATTCAAATCGTTAATATCGTCCAAACAACTAAAAATACGAATTAAAAACATTACACAATTATTGTAGACCGTGAAAAGGTGATAAGAACACAACCGACACCTAACCTGGAGATAACATGATAACTGCACGAAAAAGACGAACAAAATAATTTTCTAATTTCGACAATATTGTTCTGTAATCTGTATGACTGTATGTCTTTTTGTCATTACTTAATTGGTAGTAGGTAGTTTTATTGCGATGGTGGCTAAGTGTTGTATAGTTGGATGTACTTCAGGCTACAAAAGCAACACAGAAAAGGTACAAAAAAATTAGTTAATTTTATAACAATTATTTAGTTATTATATTCAATATTCAGTAGTATTTAAGAAATATTAAAATTAAGTAAAATTAAATTATCTAAAGATAAAATGTAAAGTTATGTTTTAATATAGCTTTAAATTTAGTTCATAAGTTGAAATAAATATAAATTATGTAAGTTGGTATATTATAGTATATGTATTCCTTTATTTATGTATTTAGCATCTGTTGGTGAGTTGAATATCAGTAAATCATTGGACAGTGATCATAATGCATCATCCAAAGCTGAATTAACAAATATATTACCTTTTTTTCATTATTTTTTTTTTTTGGTTTTCAGGCTACAAGAATCTTTACTGGGATGAAAAAACAAAAATAAAATTATTATAAACTGTAAATTAGTTAGGTATAAAATTAGTTATTAAGTATTAACCAACTACTAAATAGGTTTTATTACATAAAGAATAAGTAATGAACAAAGTAATAATAACATATTATGTTTATTTGATATTTTATTTTACAGATATTTTATAAATAAAATAAATTATAACTGGGTAAGAAAGACTTGTAGTCATTAATTATTATTTGCTGATGTCAGCCATTTAGAGAGTTTTTCGAAGTATAAGTCAAGTGTTGGGGGAATTATTTTTTTATGTAATTAAATTACATTAGATACTAATTAAGTACTCAGCTTTCAAATATAGTAATTAAAAAATTATAATTTATAATCACGATTAGAATTATTTCATCACGAGTGAACTCGTCCAGCCGGTAACCAGTTAGGCCTTGTGACTACTAGCGCTTTAGTTCACTGCGTTCGCCGCATCGACCATCGATAACACGCCGTGCGCCAACCTGTGTAGATAACCGTGATAGGAACCAACACAAAAGTGCATTATTCTCTGCAATCGCAATAACATAATATTATATTCATTTAATTTAACCTATTACGTGATCCTGTGTGTACCTACTAAAACTGTAGTATAATACTTACATCATTTGCACTACCTAATTAAAAATAAGTGTATTTTAGTTATTGTTCTTCGAAACTTTAAAAAACAAATGATTGCATTTTATAATTTTCCTGAAGTAGTAATTTAAGAGTTGAAAATTAAAATTAAATACAAAATATTGGTATCCACACACGTTAAATGTTTACATAAATTAAAATAATACCGTTGTACCGTTATATCATATTCATAATAATTCAGGTTTAAGTTGGTGTGTAGAGTGTGATTCGAAATTAAACTTTGAAAAAACAATAAAATTAGATTAAATTTGGCATAGGTATTTCACATATTATGCTCAGTATGTTTTTCAATATTAATATTGTATTATATTATGCTTATTTAACATAGGTTTTATGACTGATGAGTATTATACGTTAATTGGTATTGCTTTCGATCCTGATTAAAATATTAAACATAAAATATTTTTATGTTTATAAGTAATTTGGACTTGTTCTACTAAACGAATTATTTAAAATTTATTTGTGTATACGTATACATTTACCTACTATAGCTGTAAACAGTGGCGTATTTAGTGGGGCGACGGGGGGAAATTGCCCGGGGGCGACAAATTCTGAGTCCTTCGAAGGGGCGCCGTCGCTAGAGGTTAAATTGTTTTCAAAGTGAAGTTACCTATAACAAAAAAAAATAATTAATTTTTTAATTTTATTAATTTGTTGAGAAATTATATTAGTGATACGTGATAACCTATATATTTTACATTTCTATACATATTTCTATATATATATATATTATATAATGTATTTTATTTTATTGTCGTTATAATGTATAATTTAGGAAAGAAAGTCTAAAATCTAAAATATTATAATTTTTTTTTATTTTATTATAAAGGTGAAACTTCTTAAGATATTTATCCGTTTGCTAATAATGTGAACACGCTTGTTTTTTATGACTTAATTCATTTTTTATTTCTGTAATTATATGTATATTACAATATTCGGGAGTATTTCCCGTTAAATTTTATAATATGAAAGGAGATGGTGTTTATTTTACAATAGTGGATGGGACAGACAACTATAATAGGGCCGCTCGATTAAGTGGCGTCTACTATAATCACTGGTCAGTGGCCGGGTTATGCGAGACCTAAGAGGGCCGCGCGCTTGGAGGGATTTGTTTTTATTTGGATGCCCTGAAAAGGACAGTTTATCTTGTATTTCGTAAGTCTTCTGTTGATTCACTGAGCTGGCAACTCCTCCGCGTGTTTGATTGGTTGGTGTGGGTCGACGTTCTATTATGCTGCTGCTCGTTCCGCCCGATCCGGGTCTCTATGTCACACGGGTCTCGCGGAGGCGCATCGAGTACTCGCGCCGAAGTTCCGGCCTAGACCTTTCTTCGGCGTCGAAATATAACGAGAGGTTACCGTTGCGTTACTCCCGTGAACATAGAGGGATAGGAAACCAGCAATATTCAGCCTTATCCCACTCGTTGGGGCGCTGGAACGTCGCGACTTTGAGTCGGCGTAGCCACTGACTTGTACGATCTCTGTCTGTGGCGATGCTCTAAAAGAGTTGCGCACGGGATCGTACTTCATCACGTTCAGTCGGGCAATTGAATGCCGTGGGTCGGCGACAGCTTCGTCGTCGGACCGTAGATAAAAACTGTGGCGATGCTCAAAATGAGTTGCACACGGGATCGTAGCGGTTATTGTCCACCGGAGTACACGAATGCCTCAGTCGGAATCGGCGTCGTCGCTGTATCGTACGATCTGTTTGTGGCGATACTCTCTAGAAGAGAAGCACACGGGGATCGTACTTATTCACGTTCGTTCGGACCCACTCAGATGCCGTGGGTCGGAGACAGCTCCGTCGTCGGACCGTACGATCAAAACTGTGGCGATGCTCAAAATGAGTTGCACACGGGATTGTAGCGGTTATTGTCCACCGGAGCTCTTGACTGTCGCGTATCGCGGAATCAGCGTCTTCGTTGATGTACGGGTCGGATTGTTCACTGGATTACTCCTTTTGATGTTTCTTCGGTTCATCTATCTTCGTAGTGGTTGAGTCGAAGTTTTGAAGAAAAGTTGATTGAAGAAGGTTGCCATTGGCTTTGCTTTGGCTTTGCTTTTGCTTTGCTTTGGGGGGATGGCTAAGCCGTGAAACTATACCAGGCTTTTGCCTCTACTAGTGGATGGAAGTTTAGGAAGGTGGTTTTAACCGGCCGTGATCGTCTAGTGTCGTCTAGTGGTTAGGACCTTGCGTTGTGGCCATTGGCGTGAATCTTACTAGTACAAGTACTCCTGTCCGTACCGACTAGTAAACTCCTCTCTGCCGGGTTGCGTGTTGTGTTTTCTCTTATAATTGATTTGACGATATCTCCGTGGTTTTTAGGGTTACGACCCTGGAGAAAGTACTGTTGCCTTCGTCTTGACTTCCCCTATTCGTTGATGTGCTTTTTATGACTGTCTGGTGACCGGAAGTACTTATAACTCCTTTCAAAGTCCAAAAGACGGTGTTGTGCTTATAATCTGTTCTGTGATTGGTTGTGTTCGTCCTCTACTGTGATTGGCTGTTGTATATACGAGTTGTTGGCTCTGACCAGAGCCTTTTTATAATGTAATTCTGTTTTACGTTCCGTTACAAAGGTTGATTTTTATATTAAGAATAAATCGAATGGTAATAGTAAAATAAAAGTGTTCTCTAAATTATAGTGGTACCTATAGCATAAGTGCAATAAGGGGAAAATATACATTTTGTTGTACCCCTTTTAACGGAGAGAAAATGTAGATTTTCTTATTGGAGGGGGCTTAAAAGTTTTTTGTAACAATGAGTAAAAGGAAACTGACAAAAAAAGGGGTGCCAAAATGTGTGTACCTACCTAGGGCGCCAAAATCGTAAGTAAATACGCCTCTGGCTGTAAGTAAACCTGTAGTATAGGGACCTATATACTGTTCTAGTATGAACAATAAACATACTATATTATATTATATGAATTATTTTATTTTATTGATCTTGTTTATTCTCTGGTGAAACCGTATATAATATTAACATTAATTAATAAAACAATCAATTTTGAAAACTATTCAAATTAAGTACCTCAATAGTGCATGTTAAAAAAGACATATTTGTTAATAAAATATTTTATGTCCTTTTTCATCATGCTGGTTATTTTTATTTCATTTTTTTTATGGTTATATAAACGATATAATACTCATTATAACATAATATTATACAACTATAAATAACGCAAACGTGTTATACTCTTATTTTATTATATAAAGTATTTGTTAAGAAAAACTTAAACTTTTTGTTCGGACACAGTAAATTTCTACAGCGCTTGAAAATACGTTTGTGGAATTTTAAAATTCATATAATATAGTAACATAATATTATGTTTTTATATTATAAAAATATGTTATTAATAAGTCACTTAAGTGACGTGCCAACTTTCAAATCACTGATTATATACTAAACATATCACATCTATAAAATTTGCGTTATAATTTTATCTATTTAAATAAATTTTAACCATTATCAGAAATAGGTATACTTATATCAATTTGTGCAAAATGATACAGATTTATTTATTAAAATAAAAGATTGCTTTATATATATATATATATTAACATAATAAGAGTTGCAAGGCAGAAAAAAGACCCTTTTAACAGAATTAATCAAATTAGCTTCTAGTTGAGAGGGGCCACAAAGTGTTTATGCAATCGAAAACGTTATTTTTTACCATTTACATAAAACATATTTCAAGAATTTCAACAACAATAAACAATAAATCTCTTCCTCGACGGTGTAATAAAATATTGTAAAAATAATTATTTATTTGCTGCTTTCTTTTTTTATTCTTATTGTTACGGACCGTAGAACAATTGAATATATTTAAGTTATTTTATAAATGGACAAACGATTAAAGGGGTTGCATTTTAACATTTAAGCTCTCGTTAACCACGTATAAGCTATAAGGCATGAGAGGTAAATAAATAAAACACAAATCCTAATAATGTTCTTTATAATGTAAATGTGATTACCTAAATGAATATACTTAGTAAAATATATATAATCACATTTTTTACAATACAATATAATATTCATTGATTCATAGATTTAAACAAGTCATATAGACAGGTGCACACTGAATAAAATATAATATCTAACAAATACAATTTTTATAATGGCGTTTAATTATTGATGTAGATGCATAAAGTATAAATTGTTATGAAAAAATCTTCAGTACCTAACTATGAACAGTATCGAAATAAAATATTTTCTTTTCTATTTGTATAGTAAACTAATTCCAAAAATAATATGTGAATCTAAAACCAAGTATTATAGCACCACCTATAGACCGTCATGTCTTTACATCAAAAACTGTTTTTATCTTTTAATGCACAATAATTCCATATTGTTACTACTATTATTAGATATAGTATTAAACACTGGTTCCAAAATAACCATACATTATGTTTTGTGTGTTTGGTAAACTGAAAAAGTATAACGTTTTAAATGAAATTAGTTCGTTTAATATTTTTTTAAATTGATATTCGAAATTGTGTTATTGTATTATAACACGTTGTCTTAAGTATATTTTAATGTACTTAGAATTTATTAAAATAGTTTGATAAATATTGCGTTCTTTATATTATTATACAGTTAATTGGAGTGACACAATCTTATTATCCATTTATTAAAAGAAGAAGTACGAAACGTTACGATTAAAGTTATACCTACTTGAATGGAAAACGATAACAACAATAATTACAATATTATAATATTACCGTTATGATAGTTAAACATTTTCATACGCGTACATGCAGAAAAAAACTCATGCACAGACCATCCAAAAAATTGCAACAATCATAATGATAAACGAAGCTTCTTCGATCCTACGGTAAGTATTAAAAAAAAATTATTGGTTACGCTTATGTTCAAAGATAAGACTACAATCAGAGTAGGTACCCACCACGGGATTTCTATGGAGGTTGTTGAAGAGTAAATCCTCTTACGACCGGAATAATGGTCGGTATAATAAAGTATGACCTCCTATAAATAATATCGTAGGGCGGCCAGGCAGACAAATTAGGTAAACACATTTAGACAAGACAGCTGCATGCTTGCACGGGAGGGCGATAGTAGCGTGTGCGTGATGGATGACGACGACAACGACGACGACTATAAGTTCTTCGGCCTGATTAAGCCCTTTGGCGTTTATATAAAACACAGTTGTATAATAAAATGATTAAGCTTTTACTCCTTTTAATTTTACAAATAACGGTATTAACGTGTAACGACATAATAATATTATATTTGTCAATAGACATTAAAATATAATATTAAGATCATAAAAGTCGAAACACACACACACACACACTCTATCGCTTTTTTACACAAATCAGCACATTTTACACGCATGCGCAAGGAAACTTTAAAACAGATTTTCACTTTGTGCGTCGTCAAGAGCTGAGCTGTAATCAGTTTCTTAGCAAGCAAGAACCACGCGGATATAAGGAATAAGTATAACTATATTAATATGTTATAATGTTAAGAAGTAAAACACGTATTAATACGCAAAGTACTTCCCTACATATTATTTTATGATTATTAGCTTGATATAAAAAACTGAAAACCACTATCGAGTTACGATGTGCTAAATTCTAGAAGTGTTCAACAAACAGCAATAATATTTAAAAAGAAAAAAGTATATACACACAACACTATAGTAGGTACAGGAAAACTGCTGTAAATTAGCAGCATAAATTCGAATTTTCAGAAGACCTTAAAGACCAGTTTATCCTTTTTAATATTATTTTGAACAATTATATACAATAGAATTGTAAATTATAATCTAGTTTTATTCTTTAAATATGTATACAACAATATTAGGGGATAAGTATTTTTTAAATGGAATCAAGCTACATATTATATACCTAGGTAAATGGTTTTAGTAATGGTTTTATAAATAATGATATGTCACTATACTAGATTATATTATTTGGTAAGTAGGTATACATCCGGTACAAAAGGTAAAAATATTTTACTAATCTCTCTCCGTAAAATTCAAAATGGTAATAGACATTTTAATATATGCCTACAATATGCCTATAATACCATTCAAAATATATTATACATATTATAGACCTAAGCTAAGACTTTTTTTTGTAGTACCTACTTATTTTTACCTATATGCTCTTTTGAAGTTTGAAAAATAAGTGTAGACAATTTCTATACATTTTATTAATTGTCGTATACCTTTTTTTTGATAATATTTAACGTGTTTTATTAAATGTTGTGCTCAGCGAAGACCAGCAAAATCATACGTAAATCAAAATAAAATAGAATAGAAACATAGAAATATTAGAGTACTATATACACGGTAAGACTCAACACGCCTATCTATAATATATATTATTAACCGTACAATTATTCACATTATAACAAACTAGAAAAAAATATCGAATTTACGGATAGATGTTCGATAATTACATATAACACGTTCAACAAACACACAGTTTTCAAATTTCCAATTAAAGCGTTTAAAAATTGTAAAATAATGGTATGATAAATAATTATTACACAACACTGCAGCGCAAACATTATAATATTATTTAATACCTTAACGTTTTACTTCGACCGAACAGGTGTCTGTAGTCGTATAACGGTGCGTTAATTTATGCAGACATGTGTCATTTTTTTAACCAGATGAAAAAAAAAATCAACTCGAAGTCATAGTCTGGGGCTGTAACGATAACGCCGCTTGTACGACACCGTTGTAGCGCATGTACAACAAGAATAATAATTTCGACTACTTTTTTTATTGTTTTATTATCCACGACGAGTACATGATATGCGGTCTTCAACGCATCGTCATATGTTAACGTTATAATTTAATATTTATAAATTCTATACCTATATACATATATGA